AGCGATCCCTCTTCTATGCAAATAGATAGGGGTTAGAACGGGTGTAGAGAAGATGAGAGGATGGTGGTGATAGCGGGTCATTTTAGACAGGAGGATTAGAATTACGTGTTTGCATATCGTCTCGTCTTAACGCCATCGGAACCCCAGTTATATATGTACTTGAAAGCTATGAGATTCGGGGATTTTCATTTCAGCTTCATCCAACGCCATCGAAACTATAATAGAAATTTCTTCTGCCGATAACTGAGCTTACATTACAACATCTATGCCATTCCTACCACTAGGATTTAAAGAGATAAATTATAGATTTCCATCCATATAATTCGTAAAAGGAGTGCGTGTAGCGCAATGGTCAGCGGTGCCCTGCAATGCACACGTGCTCGTTGGTCCCTGGCTTCACTAGGACACCCATCTCTTTGCAAATTCCTACCAGACTTGTCTAGGAGAATAGCAGCATTGACTTCATATATCGCTAGGCCACAGGAATTCACTGCATAGGCCAAATATGCATTCAATCACCTCTAACGATGCTTGACGAAGCCGAATGCATGGCGAATCTGTCGGGGTTCGATCAACGCTGTACTCTTTATAGTTCCTAGACGAGTTTTCGAAGAATAGTTTTAATGCGAGAAAACAAATGGTTGATGTATAAGTCACCAACAGCAGCGGTATGTCTTTTAATTATAATAAAAGTTCATCTAAATAACTTTGTAATCTCATTAATTCTCTATTGAAAGCTTCACTTGTCTAGTCCCGAACTAAAGCATCCCAGTGACTTCCATTTTCTCAGAGTAGATGAACAGCATCACTCTTATCGTATCATAGTCTTTTTTCAAATGGTTTTTGAAGACTAAATAGTTGTGGATGGTTTGACAGGTGAGTCCTGGTTTAGCTTGACTGTCCATCCAGGCTTCCAAATGGAAATGTTGAACTTCTTCTCTACTTAGGTGACTTAATTGCTAGTGTGTTGTATTCAGTCGTTTTATAGCACAATGTAGGACAGCCAGGAACACGCTTCGATCGCAGTGATGCGATAAACTATTAACAGAAGATGAAAAGACAAAGCATTCAAAGTTGATCAATCCCCTGAAGGTTCGCCATGCATTCGATTTCATTCATAGTGTCGTAGAACTGATTGAATACACATTTGGTCGATGCAATGGCTTATAAGGTTTAACTACAAATTAAGTCAGTTTTTATATTCCCAGACAAGTCTGGTATCACCTGCCGCCTCGGGAAATACGACGGGCTTGGTTAGCCGGAGATGCAAGATAGAACCAACGACCGTGTGTATTGCAGTGTTCCTCACCGTTCGCGACTACGCTATAAGCTTCCTATTGAGAAGGAAACATTGCAAAATATAACAGTAAACGAAATATTCTGGAATGTTTCAGACTGTTCCTCAACGAAAACTACAGAATTCAGGCCGAATTGAATTTTGTCTGAAGATTTCTATGATTGACGTGGTGGATTTGGGTGTTTACAGATGTTATGCTCAACTTGAAGGTTAGATTTCGTCTTCATAGAAAAAAAGTTGTTGAAAAGAATGTCCTGAGAACAATTTTGAAGACGTGAAGTTTTCGGTGTTGATAAATTCCTTAGGAATGCACCATGTATTCAAGTCGATTCATAGTATTTTGAGATGAGCTAGTGCTTATTTCACCTATACCATGACTACCATGNATTCAGGCCGAATTGAATTTTGTCTGAAGATTTCTATGATTGACGTGGTGGATTTGGGTGTTTACAGATGTTATGCTCAACTTGAAGGTTAGATTTCGTCTTCATAGAAAAAAAAGTTGTTGAAAAGAATGTCCTGAGAACAATTTTGAAGCCGTGAAGTTTTCGGTGTTGATAAATTCCTTAGGAATGCACCATGTATTCAAGTCGATTCATAGTATTTTGAGATGAGCTAGTGCTTATTTCACCTATACCATGACTACCATGGATCCACTGTATTAAATGGTTTTTATCATCCCAGACAAGTACAATACCGATTTTTCGACCTTGCAGGGAGGGAAGGCTTGATTAGCCAGTGCACCGTTCGAACCAAAAACTCTCTGCGTATTTCAAGGCACCACTAACCACTGAATTACCTATGCACTCAAAAAAAGGTTGCTGGCTGATAAAGGAAAAGCGTTCGATCAATGACGTTACTTAAAAGGAGGTTAGGTAAATCAGTAGAAAAGGAATACTTTAACAGAGGTGAAGAAATCTTAGTGAATTGAGTGGATTTTATTGATAGTAAAAAAAATATGGAATTATACTTAATCCCTTCACAACCGCATGTTGCCGTTGACGCGTGTCGGGCTCATCGGATCGTGTTATTGCAGCGCAATCGGTACACGTATTGAATTCAGGATGTACGGTCCGTGAATCCGCGGAAGAAGCACGACGCACCGGTTTCTTGAGATAATCGTTGTATTGTTCCGTTCCCTCACCGTTTTTTGATACCTCTCTAACTTCTTCATGTCCACCATGTTTTACTGTCTATGTTCCGATGATCTTGGGCAAATCTGTGATTGATTTAACTCGTGTGTGATAAAAAAATCCGTCCATTACCTAACCATAATGTCATTAGCTTTCCGCATAGTTTTGTATGATAGCTGAAGTGTACTTTTTGTCTCTTTACTTGATACTTGATACTTGAATGGCCCATCCTCACTGGTTGTGTAGGCTCCAGCATAATCTCCACTTTCCGAAGATTTGATGGTCAAGCCATTGTGGTTTCCAGGAATCCCGAGGTCAGCCTGTCCAAAGTCTGCCCCAGGTCCTCACCACCACAGGCAGTCGCAGCCCGTGTCGATCAGAGGGAGGTTTGCCACCATGCGACTTTGATACCAGTACGGGGGTGGGTCCTGATATTGGTCTATTCTTAGCTAGGCTTCCTAGACTCCTGCTCAGCTTGGGAAACCCTGCCAGGCGGATGAATCCCCCGCTGTACATCGCAGCCCGACACCCAGGAACACCTAGCCATGATGAGGGGGTAAACCGTTGGGAGGTTGTGTCTCCTTAGTGGTTTTAAATCCACTGATCCAAATGCACTGTCCAAAACGGCTTCTTGCTAGTACAGCTGAGAATACCTATCCATGTACCAGTCCCGATATAAAATCTCTGCTCGAAAAGCCATCGATTGACTGCAATGGGTCAGTGATATTAGGTCAATGATATTAAGCGACTACAAAGGTATTCACAAAGGTGAAGGTGTCATCTGACCAAAAGGTAGTGTGTTATATCTTCGTGAAAATATTGAAAGAGAAGCAGTTTTGGTCAACCCTGTGCACTAAACAGTTGCTACAATACAAAAGGCTCACCCTTTCACAACAGAGGCCATTATTGCGGGCATATCCATCGGAGCGCAACTGAAATATGCGTTGTAATCAAGATGCACAGTCCGAGACGTACAGCAGCATACATATTGAAATCGATGCGCATAGTTGTGAAAGGGTTAAATTGTTTCCTAGTTAAATATCCATTGTATCAATACAAAAGTGACGTCACAGACGATTCGAACGGATCATATTGATGATTTTTGACCTTCTAAAGTAGACAATAAAAGATATCCTATCATTTCAGATGTGCTGACATTCAAAGAGTTCCAAGTAAAACGAGCTCATGAACCATCATTATTGAAGTCGTCACCGAACATTATCTTCTACTGTCAATTCAGTATCGGATTGTTCATTGTCGTAAGTCTTACTGGTGGTTCTCCAAAAGTTTTCAATTTTCCTTCAAAAAATTTTTCTTGTTCTTTTCCTCCTTTTTTGTTGAAGTCTATGAAAAAAACGTCTAATAACCTATGAAGATGGCTCTCACGTTTAGACGTAATAATGATTCGAAAAGAAAAGTGTTAGCGATAAGAAGTCTCTCCGGTGAATATTTCTACTTTCCTGAAAAAATCGATAATTTCTACGAAAGCATTGTAGTGAACAGGGTTCTTCTCTACTGTAGCAAAAACGGAAACCAAAGAAGAACTGCTCTTGTCACATGAAATCTGCGAATGTAATTAATTATTATATTTTGCAATGAGAAGCTGATTCTCCCTCTTTCTCTTCCTCTCTCTCTCTCTCCCTCTTTCTCTTTGTCCATGTCTTCATCTCTCGCTTGCCATATTTCTATCTTTTTCTCTATGTTCTTTCTATCGTCTCCCAATTGTCAAACCATTTGCTAAATTTGATGCCTTGTTTGAACATTAGTAAAAGAATTATCTTAGGGAAACGGTATAGATTCTGAACGTTCTCATCCACATAATATTTTTTAATTATCAAATATGCAATATTCTTGAACACTGAAGTGACTATATCACATAGTGAATTATTTATGAGTGTGAAACTTTATATGATTTTCGGACGGGGATGGCGCAGTAGTTAGTGGTGCCATCGATCAAGAAGCAAAGGCTTTAGTTCGACCCTCGCCGCAACGCTCTCCTCCATTCGATTTGGGAACGCCTTAGCCCAGCTATTTTCGTGAGATGATGCAAGGAGATTTGACTCGACCAGCATTCTACGACATTCATAAGGAAAACGAATTCGTCAAGCAGCATCTAAAACAGCGCGCGAAATGTTCGACCATTGTAGATGGTGAATACGAGGAATACGAGGAAACGAATCGAACGAAGTGCTGGGATCCGTAAAGTACCTATGATGACGGGTGGTGTAAAACAAATAAAATAAGATACGATTTTATATCTAATCAATGCTCAAAGCCACAAATACAAAACATACAAATATCAAATACACGAGTTTCCAGTTCGAAGAGGAAACCAAGATAGAAAAAAAGTTGTTTCCTTTCAGTTTTACTATTTTGCATTCTGAAAAGTTTCATTTTAGTTGGCCAAGTTTTCATTTCAAATGGAAATCTTTATTTTTCATGAACGGAATCTGTGTTGAATAGTTGAACTAGTCCGGAATAACTCAAAGGTCCGATTTTCTGTATAACTTTGGACTACTAATTAACACATGTAATTCTTACAAACTGCCCTTACCGCTGTTCATCTGACGCAAGCTTGGTATGAGCTGTTGTTGTTGTTTCTGCTGCTGTGGTTCGATAGCTGACGTCTCGGTGGCTTCGCTTTCCTCCAAGCGTGTACGTATTTTATGCAACGATAGCCTTATAATTTGGTGATATATCTGTAGTATTAATGAAGATGTAACATATAAATGAACGCCACTTTGTTTAAAAACTACTCACCATTTTGCGAGATATAACTCGTATGTAATGCTGAGATATTTGCAAAACTCCGGACCGCTGGTGTATGTGGTGGGGAACGAACGCGCGCTGTTGTCCTTACCGGGGAGCAGCGCACTTCACTACCACACCATCCGGATCCTTCGTTTTGCCTGTCTCTCAGCTAGTTCCTGTCCCAAATATCTCAGCATTATATACGAGTTATATTTCGCAACATACCCTGCCATTAAGAAGAAGAAGGCAGTAAATAAAAGGGTTAAGATTGTACTCACCATGTTGTTGCGTGTGGGACCACCCGTGAGTTCTTCACGTAGGATGACGAGTGAGATCCACCCAGGTCAAAAAATCAGTTTGAAAAATGGGCCAAGTCACGCGTGACAATGGGACATTCGTCTTTCTGGTTCATCATTGAACTTTTGAAATTTATCTAAAACGCTTCGAGAGTCTTGCGCGTTGATGCTTTTGATTCCTGCGCTAGGATCCGGACAGTCACTTCAAAATCATCGCTGTTGTGCTTTTGTGTCCTGTGTACACCTAGAGTAGTACTCTGTCTAATTTTACCCTTTAAATCAATGGTTTTTATGTGCACATAAATCTCGTTATGTTCCATTATAATATCAAGATATTCGAGGTCGAGGTAATGGTAGCCGTTTCCACAACGGTAGCGTATTCTTCATCGCATGCCTTCCATGATACTTAATACTTGAAAGACCAGTCCTCACCAGTTGTGCGTGCCCCAACATAAACACAATTTTTTGGAGATTTGCTGGTTAAGCCATTGTGGTTCCCTGGAATCCCGGCAGCCTGGCGAAAGTCTGCTCCAGGTCTTCATCACGACAAGCAGTCGCAGCCCTTGTGGATCAGAGGGAGATTTGCCAGCGACTTTGATACCAGGACGGTGGTAGATCCTGGTATTGGTTTACTCTTAGCTAGACTTCCTGATGGGAACGCCGTACTCCTTTTCAGCTTGGGAGACACTGGCAGGGGATGAATCCCCCACTGTACATCGCACTCCGACATCCAGGAAAACCTCCTAACCACGATGAGGCGGTAAACCATTGGGAGGATGCTTTGCATGAGATCAAATATATTGTACCTGATCTCATTTAATCCCCTCTTTGCCGTTCGGACAGGCTACACGATTTTCTTAGTAACACATGCCATCATAGATTATAGGTTGAGGACTACTTGACGACATAATGTATTGGGTGGGGCGCCAATAACCGTCACTGAATTTTCAAGACCACTTTTTCTTAGGCATCTCTTAATAGCGGAGTTCATTTCGTTTGATATGAACGGTAGCTTGACAGGGATATCATTTATGTTTGAAACATTGTTTTCTGACCTAACCCTACCTTTTGATGTAACCCGAGTGGCCGTTGCTTCTTAACCTTTCCAAATGGCTACTTTTCATTCCTCCGTCCCAACTTCAGCGATTCCTTGCTTTCATCTTCTGCGCACACATTTTTAACCGTTCAGTACGTGTTTTTGATAAGTGCTTTTCTCATGCGTAAAGGATGAAAGGAAAGATAGTGAGTGCGTTGGTATGTCTTTACTACTTAATTTTCGGTACCGTTTTGTTACATAGCCACTCTCTGAAACTTTATTTATTTTGGTTATTTGAGAGTGGAAGCGAGTTTTCGAATGGTTTTTCCCGCGTAAATTTTATATACTCTGACTGTCTATTTAACAATTCAAAGCATTCGTCCACCTGCTCCTGTGTGGAAAAGGTGAATCGTATGTATGGACAGCAAAGTGATGGTCAGTGATCAAGAACTGAAGCTTCCACCTCTGACATAAAGGCGACAGCTAAGCTTGGTGCTAATCGCTGTCCCATGACCAACCCTCTAATTCGTGCAAAATATCTTCCCAGTCACCTAATGAGTGAAAAACTAAGACATTGTTCTGAGAGTCATTAGCTGATGAATCGATAAGCCATACATATTTATTTTCTTACCATGGTCTACGAGCAACTCGCGAATCGTATCCATTGCGAAGTCATTCGACACGTTGGTATAAAGTGAAATAACATCGAATGACTCCATTACATGTGTGCCGCTTGGTTGCACACATCGTAGGTGATCTAGGAATATTTTGGTATTAGGCAGATGGGTTGGTATGAATGGGTCAGGTTAAGGTTTGGGAACCATGTTACTCTATGCTTTGTCCGTCTACCGATACGTCTAACTTTAAATGACAATGAATCACCAGACGGAAGATCATCAGTGAACTTATGTATTTTAATGAGTAGGTTAAGAACAGGATAAGTTGGCAGATCATCATTATCCAGCCGGGAATAGTGTTTAAAAAGTGCTTACTTGGATATTGTAATCTAAACATTATATAAACAGTGATAATCCATATTTAATACAGCTACAATGACGCTAAGATATTTGCAAAACTTAGACCCACCCCAGACCAGATTAAGAGCCGCGACTGACCTCAGCATCTGACCTGGTGTCTAGGTTTCGCAAATATTTTAGCATCATTGTGGTTATATTTCACACAATGCCTGCAAAAAGTAATAAGAAGTAAATAAAAACGAATACATTATGAATCCATGTTTAGTTGCAGTTTAAAGCTCCTTGTCATATTAGGATACGGTTGGCTGTTGTTCCACCTTTCTCCTTCCTCATTTACGATCTCTTTGATTAGAGTCGCTGTTTCTGTTCTATTCAGGTATTTTGCTGTACAATTTGTTGCATACTAAGTCGTGGACGATCAAGCAAAACTCAACCGAAGAAGGATAGCCAATGTCCGACGGTGAGAATTCCCATCGTTGTCCCTTTTTTCCTGCAACATCTCTTGAAATCACTCCACGTTAATCATGAAAATATTATAAAGGATAAGAAAGAATAAAACATTCATCGTTGATCAATCCCTGAGCGATACGCTATGTATTCGACTTCAGCAAGCATCGTTAGAGGTGACTGCATATCTGGCTTTTACAGCAAATTGCGGTGGCCTACACGTGTTTCAAGTCAGTATTGCTATCCTGCTATTGGTCCCATACTGACGAAACCGGAGGAATGGAAGGCCATAGTGGGCACGAGACGTGGGATCGAACCAAAGGCCACGTGTGTATTGCGGGGCACCTCTAGTCACTGCACTACGTATGCCCTTGATACACCATTAAATATCCAAAAGGAGAACGCATTCGCTCACTTCTTCCTTCCAATTGGAAATCAATGCATGAACCTGTTAACAATTCATTGATCTCCTCATCGTGTTAGTTCACATCTCATCAGCCTTCAGAATACTCTAAATCCATAATGTCCATGTGTAATGGTAAATTGATTTACTCTAATAAAAAAAAGGAACCTTTCAATCTTCAAGCCACAGGTGTTCACGCCTAGCTTCACGTAGACTCTCATCTTGCCGATTTTTCGACAGTAGACAATAATTTTTTGATAGCTAGAACAACTCAGGGCTTGAAAACATGGCAGAGTCATATGGAAGATTTTCCTGTATCGTTCTAAGGGTATGTATGATATTTATGCTACGATTTTCTAAATGTTACTTTGGTCAGCCATACAACCACATAACTGTTAGCGTTTGGAGGGGTTTTCTACTGGTGTTGAGTCTACTTTTACATTTTTTACACCCGCTGATTTCACACGATAATCAGGATTAGTCGTTGTAACTGAAACTGGAAAGGTTTTCTTTTTGAATATTCCTTATTGCATAATAGATTTTATCTCGGCCAACGCCTGCATCCGCATCGTTGTTGGGTAAGCTATAGGATCATTAGAAAAAGTGCAACAAAAAAACTCTACACGACAAAATATACGGTCTAAAAGAAAACTAGTTATATTCGACTCACCTTGACCAGTTTCCGGCCAACGTGTGAGCCATATATGACTCGTCTCGTCGACAGTACGGTAATCAACAACGCGTTTTTTCCGTTATCTTTAGACTGAACTCATGGCGGCGATAATTCATCCTTTCCTGAATATCTTACTTATTCATCAGCCGTGTAAGCAAGAATTGATATTTTTCAAGAATAACTACTAATCACATAACGGCGGCATTGAAAGTGTTCATCACCAATTTCCACGTCATCTGAAGGACCTTCCAACCACCTTAGGATCATCGTGCCTTCCTAAATTGTTGTGACCAAACAATATTGTGAACAAACATCCTCCAGCGATTAGAATATTTAAGTCTTTAAATGTTTTCTGTAAGTTTATGACTAGAAACCAGGTGGAGTAGTGGTAGTGATGCCATACATCACTGCACGGTACCAGTTCGACCTCGCGCAGAGCTCAACGAGCTTCATTTTCTTAAAAAAAGTTGCTTTCCGCAATCCAAATGGGAACGCTCTGTCCCGCCTATCTTAAGACTCCAGAGAGGATCTACTGGACTAGTATTCAACGACATTTGTAAGTAAAATGATTCTCGGGCAACACTCGAAATCCAATTGAGAACAGTTCAAACACCTGGGTCGTGTAGGAAAAAAAGCTTATCGCTGCCAATGTCATACTAGTATGCTTCTTTGTTTTCATTTTCGTATACACTCTCTCCATACTCTGTCGTGCTTTCAGGTGCTACATGTTCTTCCATTTGATGACGATAACTCGAACATCACCACAACATCCTCCATTGATCATGAACACTATCACATACCAGTTACTTGCTGCTTAGCCGAGTATTCATGGGAACAAACAGACTTCAATTGTTCGACGCCAGAATATTCGCACTTGGAAGAACGACGACATTCTCCATCATTCCATCATCTGGATGACATCAGTCAACGTCGTGTCGCTCTGTGGCGTCATAGAATTGCTGCTATGCCTGCACCACTGGCGCAATTTGACAAGGAGACGAACATAATGGCCATTGTACATACTTCAGTATAACGAAGAAAAATTGTAAAAAAAAATAAAAAAAAAACTTTTGTAACGAAAGCCTTATCACATTCTTCATACTGGGAAGCTTGTCACCTAAAAAACTTCCGAAGATATTTATCATTAATCCTTTAAAACTCAAGCTTAATTTTATCTCAGAATACGAATATACTGAGGAAGTCACTCATAATTCACAGTAACTTCTCTCGTCAATAAAAAAAAATCGACGATTTAAGAATTTCTTCCGCTATTTTCTTTGTTTCTAAGCATTTCTCTAGATTTTGCACTTTCCTACAGAAAGAACCTCTTCTACCATATGGATAAGGAAAAGCATGAATGCGATGATTATACGGCTCCTATGTCAAGAGGTGTATATGGTGGGATTCGGATGAAAATTACGGACCACGTATTTCAGTCCAACAAGCAGATGAAATGACACTAACTTTACTCGCTTTTCCAAGTAATACCATTTAGGTATCTAAAACTCATTCAATTCAAGATATCTACCTTCAAACCAAGGACGGGTGTGGCGTAATGGTCGGAGGCGGCGCCATGCAACACACACTTGGAATCGATCCCCGCGCCCATGGCCCATCAAACCTTCCACACTCCGGGTTCGGCAAATTGGTACCGGACCTGTCTGGGAAGATAGCAGCACTGGCTCGATACATTGACTGGCCACCGCGAGTCACTGTATAGGCCAGATATGCATTCGATCACCTCCAACGATGCTTGAGGAAGTCGAATGCATGGCGCATCCCTCAGGGATTGATCATTGATCAACGTCCCCAGAGCTTTATCATTTTTATTCTTTTTAACTTTAAACCTGGAAAATTTGCAGGTTTAGTCATTAACCTCGTTGATTCCGACCTTTACTTTCCGAATTACATCTTACTATTTACATCCTTGAATTACTGACATGAGGCATACGCTAGTACCCCTAATTTCTCGCCTTGACGTGCATTGAAAAACTTATCCGAAGAGGTTCCTTGTAAATTATCAAGTGTAGAGAGTAGCTATTCATGCACCAACTTCATTACAATATTATGTTGCATAAGCTACTGGCTAAATACAAAACTTTCCTGAAATAAACTCGTTGAGACAAAGTTAAAAATTGGACTATGCATTGAAGTCAATTCATATGGGACGCACATTCGATGTAAACCGCTATTTTATACTAACAAAATGTCACTGTCACTCCACCTGCTACTTAATTCTTTCGATCATCAATTCATATAACGGTGCCTTTTTCTGTCAATAAAATACATGATTTCATTGAGTTTTAGTATTTCTTTCCCTGAATAATAAACATTACAACATTTCAGCAACATATCACAGCTTGTTGTAAGAGAGAAGGAGAAACATTATTTACACAAATGACTAGGCAACAACTGGAACAATGACAGTATGTTCAGGTGCACTTAAACGTATCACAGATTATTCACGGTCGATATAAACAAATGGAAGCTAAACCCATAAGGGAGCACAACACATCTGAGCCGTAGTCGGTGAGATTCTGAAGCCACGCTTCTTCTAGTGATGAATGGGCAAACAGTATGTAACCCACTGACCACTAAAAGATCTAACGGTGCTTTGAATGAGACCGACAGCACACAACCAGTGGAATTTTTCCATACCAAATCAAAAAGTTACAAGCAAACTAGGAATAGTAAAGTATAGGAGTAGAACTGTCCCAATTGTATATTTAAACTCTCTGAAGAAAGCTTCGCAGTAAAATCGCATATTCGCCATTTTTCGCTGATACTACCATGTTAGCAACAGTCGCACTATTAATTTCAGTGTTCTCTTTTCGACATCCTCAAGTTACTGTTAGCTAAAAAGTGGTACAGTATGTCTAAAAAAAACTAAGATGAGTTACAACGAAATATACATCAACCTATACGATTTTGCCGCTAAATTATTGCTCTTCTTCTATTCAGTCACTCAATGGAGACGCTATCTGGACGTTATTTTCAAATGAAGGCGAACTATTGCCGGCTCTAGAATTTAACGGAGATGAGGAGGGTGAGGAGGTCGCCTTGAGAATAAGCCGCGCTAAATCTGAGCATCCACAGTTCGACAGTAACTCCACTACCTGTGACCATTCACCATGACTAGCTTGAGCGAACATAAAACGGGTCTAAAAACATATTTCCTAAGATGTAGAGAATTTAATAATCACAAAACTACGACATCAAGAAGATGCCGCAACCATCACTTGTAATGTAGGAACTTCTGATAGCGTACAACGTTCCCAGTCCTATTCCCGCTATTATAAATATTCGTCCACTCACTTTATCATCAAATGACAGATGATTGATCCATTTGTTGTGCACATCTTCCGAATCTTCTAAACCCATCTGAAGTAGAAGAAAGAGTGAAACTTAAGAGAAATGCTCCTTTTTAAAGGGTGGTTGGAATTGAAATAAAAACGAATGTTTAAAAAAAACAAACCTTAGCGTAAATGATGCTTTTATCCCATTGACGTTGAGATTGAAGATACTTACATGCATCACCACCAGCATTTACTAGGAACAATAACTCAACACCATCTGAAATGGTATCCAAATATAGTTCTTTTGTTGTATCTACATGATATAAAATACAGAGGATAAGAACTGAAAAAGCTTTCGCCGTCAATTTCACTTTCCATATATCTTCATTATACTCTTAGAATTATAATATCAAAAAGCAAGACAGCCCCACAACTCTCTATAAATCATGGTCTAAGGATTGCAACTAAGCTATACCTTCAATCAAATCTGATGCAATAAGATTCGTGGCGATCAGTTTGATCAGTGAACGTGCCTGCTCACAATCCTAAATTAATCAGCGGCATAAAATATTAGTAAGGGTAGAAGAACCACTTAAACCATAACGGAAACTTGTTTTGCTAACCTGACTAGATACTAAAAGAGCAGCTTTTAAGCTTGCATGACGCAAATCCGATGAACCAATCAGGCGATCTATGGCTAGATCCTAAATACAGTGAATCTTTCCATGGTATTCAAATCCACAGCAAATACTGAAAACAAAACACCGAAGAACAAAAGCACTGCAAACCACTTTCTCCTCATGAATTAAGCCCATTGTTCACCATCTCGTAATGATGTGACTTGAACAGTTTTTTTTTTAGAGAACCCGGCTTTCACATTTACTACGCAATCATAGCACTTCCTGCATTCATCACATCCGTCATCCATAAAGATCTTCCAAGCTTTCCGCGCGTGTTTGATTGGTTCCTGAGGATTTTTCTTTCGTTATTAATGTCGTTGAATGACGACCGAGTCGATTCTGCCTCGAGTCCTGAGATAGAAGGGAGTAGAGCGTTTCCACTTGAACTGTGGAGACTGAACTTTTCTCAGACAGCTCCAGTACCAATTTCGCAACTTCAGAGGGATGAGAGACTTGGTGAACCTGGCGCGGGATTGGACCAGTACCGTGGTCGCGACTACAAGCATCACTACCACTACGCTACCCGCACCATTCAACAAATATTCACATCAAATGATTATACACAATAAAAAAACAATGCGAAAACCAACCTTGGCTTTCCCACCAGCTACCACGGCCCTTTCTACCAATTTGTCCTCTTCAACATTCGTTGCACTGCATGCTGCACACGTTACTCGAAGTTCTCGTTCCTAGAGTAGTATAAATTCACTGTAGCATACGGACATAGTCCAAGATTGATTTCTGACAAGACAAATCTGATTACCCGAAATACAGGATTTGGCCAAAACATTTGTAAATCAGGCGGAAGTTGTGGCTCATCTTTCGACAATGTCGAGCATACAGTGGCTAACAGTTGACACAAGCAGATGTCACCAAGAAATCTGTTCAACAGCATTTGATTCTTTAAAGCAGAGAGGTTTACTGCATCTCCAGATGACAACTTTGAGGACACCTGTGGAAGGGATATGTAACAAGCAACGTTATCAATATGGAGAACTAGGTACCAACTTTTCTAGCTATGATCCTCGCCAATACGGGATAATCACTAGATCCTAACTGAAAGTCATTCTTCAGTTGTGTGACTTTTTTTGCATTTATTAGCAAAGGAATATCTGAAATAGGTATGTGAAGAATAAATCTTAACGAAATTTCATGCAATCTCTTAAAGGCACAAAGGATATTCAGACGCAATGGCCTTCTCTTTTGAACGTGACGAAACCTAAAAACAAAGAAGTAAAAAAATCTTTCAACATCAAAGAACCTTTCTCCAACATTGGTGAGTTCTTCAAAACATCTGGAGCATATCGGAGAACATTATCGTTAGTGAGAAGAACTGGTGATACGCCACATAAATCCATATCCAGTGCCGACTGTGAGGGATCGAGTGATACATGATGCTGACGGGTCAAGGCTTCGGTATCCCATAACGACAACTCTCTTAAATCTTAGTAGAGTCAGAGATTTTTCATAATTGCCTAAATTTTCAATAGAGGGTACTTGAAAACTTTACGACGTGAAAGTTTTACAGAATAAAGTTTTCCTGATCGTTTTGAAGATGTGAATACTTTTCCGAAAATATCATTTCTATTCAAGCCTCTAAAAATAGGAATAAAAGACAATGCATTAAAAGTCTTAAGAAGTGCAATGCCAACACAGTAACTGAAATAGTGATTACGTAGTCGAGTATATCAATGTGACCTGATGAACGAAATTCCTCTTGTTGAATTGCTCTGATTTTCAAAATACTAACCCCGATGGAGAAGAATAAAACCGAAGAGAAAGATATTCCTGAGCTCGGAATAATCAGTTCAGAGAATTTCATCACAGCTGGGAAGAAAAAAACCTTACTACTTTGTAGTCGAAAGCTGAAGATTTTTGGCCTTGTTAAACAGTAATCAATGCATATTATAGTTAATTTATTAAGATCTTAATTTTTCAACTCAACTATCTTAACTACGAATATTTTAAACAATAGGCGCGTGTGGTGCAGCGGTCGGAGGCCCATTGCGATAGACACACAGGATCGATCTCTGCGCCCGTGGCTAACCACGCCTTCCATCTCTGCGGGGTCGGTGAACTGGTACCAGACTTGTCTGGAGGATAGCAGCACTGGTTCGATACATCGGTAGGCTATGGCCAGTAATTGTAAAGACCATATATGCATTCAATCACCTCCAATGATGCTTAATGAAGTAGGATGCAGAGATCCCTCAGAGACTGATCAATGCCGAGAACTTTATCCTTATTCTTATTATAAATAATAGTTTACATTACAGAACAGTCGAAAATTGCAGTGACACTCCATAATCACCATTCTCTTTTCTTGCCCAAAGACATTTTTTGGCTTGAATAATTGAGTACTGGGAATGCAATACTTGAGTAACTAGTCATCAAGAATGAATAACATCTAAATTCACGAACTAAAATGTAGAGAAAATTACTCCAACGCTCCGCTGAAAAATTTGACAGGATTGGAACAAAAGGACTTACAACAAACCTTGGGTGTAAAATTGCAAGCGTGTGATCACCAGCTAGACGTGAAAAGGTCATACGTACAACTGGAAAGCGAGAAGCTCGAATGTCACGTGACTGTCGTCGACCAAGATCCCATATCTGTAACTGGGTAAATGAACGATCACGAGGAAAAAAAATAAAAAGGGGAAATGAACACACCACAACACGACCTTCAGCGTCCCCCATTACTAGAATATCATCCTTCCATGCCATTGTTCGGATTGACCAACCACCACTTTTCAACTGAAGAGAAAAAATGGATTTACACACACCTATCCCCAGTTCTGCTCAACTAAAGCCTAAAATCAATAATGTAGCTGGATATACGAAACAAGCTTAACATTTCTACACTCTCAACATAAGATGATCGCTTGCCACAAAGCGCACACAAAAACACACAAACCCACTGAAACACTATCTAGTGAGATACGTGACGAAGTGCGTCACTTGTGGAAAATACGTCAATTGTTTCTCGATGAACTCAATTGATTAGTCAAGCGTTGTAAGAATTGTGAAAAAACCCTCGTACACAAGAGCATCTAACGCTTACCTGAGTGTTGACTTCTTTACCATCCTTCACATGTAAACCTTTAACCACAACGTGATATACGCGATTGTCTAAAATACGTCATCAATTTTAATATGGTATTTAACCTAAGAATAGAAAAAATGAACATGGGCGACATTTCGCCTTGTGTCAACCTGAATCTAGAATTACTAAGTTCTCGCGATAGACACTCAGACCGCCTCCTTCGGTAGTTTTAATTCCATGATGTTTGCATGACCACGCCTATAATTACGATAATTTCACTGCTGCTGTGCACTGACCGAAACTGAGGCCTGGTGTTCTTTCTGGTTTACAGGGATTCCATCCTAGTGGTTCACCGCATTATCGTGGCTAAAAATATTCTTGATACCAAATTTAAATGTACAGCGGCATTCCATCTTTTAGCAGCTTTACTTAACTTGGGATATTCGGTTTTTCCATTCAGAAGTCCAGCTAAGAGTGTGACAACCCAGAGGAAATAAAACTTCTTATATAAAATAAAATTTCTCATAAAAACTCTCATATAAAATTTGTAATGGATAGCTCAGACACTCGAAATATATCATTGATGGTGTCCACTGGAGATGTTCGATGTCTAACTATGTTGCAACTGGTACATATGACAAAACAAAAGAGGCGTGTGAAGAAATATTTGAATTTTAGCTGAATTTTGGATTATGAAAAGCAGTTCAAAGTCACGAGAAAAACCGAATAAAACAACTATGAAAGGACGTTGGTTACTAAAACGCTCTGAAAAACAAACCATATCAACTATCAATGGGCACGTCTTACTCATACGACGAAGAAGACGAAAATCCTTCAAATCCCAGATCTCCAAAGGTTCACGTTGAAAGGCTAGAGCCAAGTAGCACCTACAGTAAAATAATTCGAGATCAAAAAAAGGCTTACATACACATATATGTGTAAAAGCTTTGTATATGTATGCATACATATACACGTACTTACATGCTTGTGTACATATACGTGTATACATAAATATATATACGTGTGTAAATATGTATATGCACATATATACATATATATATATATACAGGTACATATATGCATGCAAAGTCCTCCTAATGGGTTAGCGCCTCATTTTGGCTAGGTGTTCCTGGGTACAAGTCTGTGATGTACGGCAATGGGACTCATCCCCCCGGCATAACCTCCTAGACTAAGAAGTAATCCGTCGTTTCCATCGGAAAACCGGGTTCACAGTAAACCAATTCCAGGAACCACCACTGCCCTTGTATCAAACTAGTCGCATGGTGGAAAATCTCCCTTTGGTACACAAAGGCGGCGACTGCCTGTGGTGGTGACGACCTGGTGTAGACTTTGGCCTGGCTGACCTCGGGATTCCAAGGAACCACAACAGCTAAACCAGCAAATCTCTGAAAAAATGGAAATTATGTTGGGGCCCGCACAACCAGTGAAGACGGGCCAACCAGGCAACCATGCAAGTATACGTGCAAAGTAATCAAAAATGCAAGCTATACAGTAAGGGAATAAAGAAACTCACTGATAAAAGGACACCCGCAATAACGTTATCGGGGACTCATCAGCTTCTGGACGGATGCGGCGTTTCATTCCTGAAATTTGTACGACTCAAAAAGCACGGAGCTATAATGGCTTGATAAATGAATCATAAAAGTGGAATAATTCGAGATCAGAACAGAAGAGCACCATTTAGGAAAAACCTACCTGTTCTAATATCAGTAGCAAATAAATCGTTTCTTACTACTTGGGCTGTACTCAGTGAATGACTGTAACCAGAAGTAATCACTGTATATGCTCCTCCCCATTCTAAGCATCTAAAAGATCTCCTTGATAAAGCATGAATTATGAAGACTTAAATAGATCGACGTGAAAAAGGAACAGTACTTGATCGGTGACGACTGAATGGTGAACTCGCGAATTATGTCACATGTAAAGACATCGACAAGGTGTAAGATACCAGAATGCGATCCAACAGCAATCAGATGAGAGAATTCAAACGCAATTTTATCTTGACATGAAAACTGATGATAAAATCGCAGGTAATAACGAATTTCATCATTGATCAGCGGGTACTCCATAAGATACCTAATGAATCATCTCCTTTCGAAAAGTCATTCATAGGTCGTATACGTAGACAGGACACTCCGGATGAGAGCGCGTCGAGGAAAGCGGTTTGATGAATGCTTTTGAAAACAAAATATTACATCGATCTTAGTGCAGAAAAGTGGAGTGAGAACAGATGGAAACAAGCTCTAGTGTAGATGAGAAAGAACCTTACCTAAGAGTTCCCACAGGGGTAGTGTTCAAATCCTTTCCAAAAGCCAGGTTATCCTCAATGAAGGAATTTCTGTAATCGTGTGTAAGAGCTCCCTCTGACGTCTAAAAATAGTTTAAAAAACAAAGACCACATAATGTTTAACGTTTTGTTTTCTGCCTTCTATAATTTTCATGGCAGGTTATTAAGCGAAATACAACCACAACGTTGCTGAGATATTTGCAAAACTCTGGATCGCAGGTGTCTATGGTGGGGAACGAACGCGCTATAGTCCTTTCCGGGAAGTAACGCGTTCACCACCACACTATGCGGGTCCTTCGTTTCGCCTGTCTCTCAGCTATTTCTATCCCACATATCACTATCTAAAGACCACATATTTAAGAAAACATGACAAAACGGGTCAGCATAATAACAAGTTACTGTCAAAATGAGGAATCTGCCAGCGCTGGGGTCGAGAAATTGATACCATATTTGTCTGGGATCTGTTCACTCCCTGCAATTCAAGTGGGAACGCTCTGGCCCGCCTATACAAAGGTCCCGGAAGGAGTCGACTCGATCAGCATCCAAAAAAAAAGCCCCATAATAACGATGAAAATCTTCAAGCAGCAGCCGAACCAAAAGAATTCGAAAAGCGTCGGGATTTGCACAGTAGATGTGAAAACGGGTCCCATGAAATAAGATAAGTAAAAGAATTATATTGTTGAAGCCTTACAAGCTGCCACAACACCAATTTTCCACTGCTAAACACAACCGCAATAGAATTTTGAGTAACTGGGCAAAGTGCGGCACTAACTGCTCGTTGTTGCGTACCCAGACGCTGGATGTCGCCTACTGCCACCTACAAAGGAAAGTGGTTTAGAAAATTTGATGTTCACAGCTTTTAACTGCAAAACAAGAGGTGGTACAACCACCTTCTCTAGACCTAGTTGGGCACCAGCTCTTTCATTAGTCGCTGAAAAGGTTCCTATCCTTAAAGTAATGCTTCCACTTGCTTGTACAGAGAACACTGCATCACGAGAGGAGCAGCAAAACAAGGAAATAACATTAGGCTCCAAAGTTGTGGAGAAAAGGACAGCAAACAGTTCCGTATGAAAGCAGTAAACCTGAAACTAGTCGCACTTTGTTGGTTATCAAACTAAGATTCTATTTATATTAAGGATCTACAGCACCGTTTTATAAATTGTGTCGATCGATAAAACATACCTGGGTATGATCCGCAACAAAAAGGATATCCCGAAATGCTTTATGAAAAACAATGCTCTGAACACTAGACGCCAACTTCACTTGATCTTCGCATAAAGACACAGTTCTACAAGAATTTGTGGGCACGGTGTTGAGGTTGATGTCAAAACATAACGCTATTTTACACCCAACCGAGGAAACTAAAAGAATGCTCTGGATAATTTCCACTCTTTACAAGAAAAAGTGAAATATATGCGACTTAAACCTACATGCTGCATGATGGGAGTTAAAAGGATCAAGCGCCATGTCGAAGAGTGATGTTGTATAAGTTACTGACCACATCTTTTCGCCGTTATCCGTATTCCACAGAATAAGGCAGTCACCAGAATGTAATGACAGAAGGAAATCTCTGCTCATATCTTTCCATACAAACCACTTCATATCTATAAAACATCATATTTTAACATTTGCACTGACACAATACGCAGTGGTACTAACAGTCATAATAAAATTATACTTTAAGTATTTCAAAACCGACTTTCCTTTAACCACGACACGGCTAATCAATAAGTATTCTTTCCTTTATAGGCTTACACGATGTTGATATACAATCTTTATTCTGCTAACGATTCGACGGTTTTGTTTTGATCAGAGCCGATGGTCCACAGTTCATCGGATCATCGGCATTGATGAAGACGAAACTGTCGAAACGTTAGTCGAATAAAGATTATATATCAACCTCGTGTAAGTTTATCAAAGAAAGAATACATATACTTTAAGTACCCCAACAAAGTTCACTGCAATGGACAAGACAAAACAAAATGGAATCTGAAACTCACTGAGAACATTCGAGGCAGCGTGTGCAAACTGGCATTTTTTTGTGGCTGTGATCGGCTCGGATATGATGATTTGGCCACTGATGTCCGATGACGCGATCCGATGATCATCTGACCTTGTCTGTTCAGTGATCGAGAACGGAGGAGACCAGCAAACCTGTGTGGATAGAATAGAAACATTTGAAACTATTAGCTCAAAAAAGAAGTAAAAGATAAAAATATGGCTATACATACACGATCGATGGCGGTAGTATGCAATTCGATGGTTTGAACTCGTTTAAATCTGAATGCATCCACGACGAATAATAAGTTATGTGAACCGTAGACGATCGTACCCTTTGAATTCCTGAATACAAATGAAACGATGATGATAAATCATTTCTCATATGTAAAGGGACCTCCTTCTAAAACACGAATTTAATCATTCTCATTTTTTATTTTATAATTCATGCGACCCGTTTTCACATCTACTGTACGCGTCTCAGCACTCCCCACATTCGATTGTTTCCTCGCATCCATTATCACGAAGATCTTCCAACTCTTACGTGTAACTTCGGCTGCTGCTTGTGCATTTTTTTCCGACTGGACTGCACGGAGTGAATTGCTCCCGAACAAGTCCGATACCAATTTCTCGACCCCGGATCGATGAGAGGATTGGTAAACTGGAGCAGGACCTAACCAACACCGTGCTCATAATGATCAGCATAACTACCACTGCGCAATCAAACGTAGTTCAGAAAAATTTTGAAACAAAATGCGATAACTCAGGAGACTAAGGAAGGAAATATTGCACACACATACCAGTCTATGGCGTTTCGATTGCTTGGGTGGAGGCCTCCAGGGAGTGAGTTTGGCATTTCATGGAATACAGAAGATCTCAACGAACATGAGCTTTGCCCTAAAACCATGATTTCTACTCAGATAATAGAAAACAAACAAAAATTGTTAAGCTGAGTACGAATTCATGCCAATTCACGCTAGGGACGGCAAATAAGACTGATGAGTAGATTCTATAAGGACGGTGTCATTATACTAAGAACTGACACCTTCTTCCGATGAGGTTTCCATGTGAACACTAAGAAACTTCAATATTCTACAGGATACACTTCTGTTCAAAACGAAGACGAGCAGACAAGAGAAAGAGCGTTGTTCATTTGAAATCAAAGCTTATCCATTCACTTATTACTCAGCTATGACAGTGCATTCTACAACCCTGTTGCTAATATACTTCATTTATGGTACTTGAGAGAACTTATCCAATTTTTCAATCATTTAAATCACGAAACAGCCATATTTTGTAACCGACACTATAAAGAACAAATAGAAACTAGGTATGGCTCAGATAGCCATAGAGGTAGTCGCGTTGTTAAATAGCCTATAAAGGAAAACAACCATTCGTTGCTGGCAAGCTTGGATATCTCAACGTTCCTTATCCAAAAAGTAATCGATATATGGGAGAGTGTGTTGACTCAGAAAGCTGTGAACGCCTTAAATGACATCAGGACAACGTTTCTCGCATCCATCAGTACCTTTTTAATCCTCTACAACTGACTGATCAATGAATCCTTGTCATCTACCTATATCATGTTAGAATTGAGCATACAAGAAAAGCACCTGTGCCTTCACCGTGTATGGCAGACTAATTCCACGCTACATTGCGCCATAGCGACGTCACAATTCGTTTACAGACAGACAGTACGCAAAAAATCGGTTGAAGTGGAGACGACCCCGTTCTACCAGTAGCATTGTTCATAACAGTTTCAAAATCCCATTTTATATTCACCACACGGGTTTTCAGCAGTGCCAGAATCGTAGTGATTAAAGATGTCATGCAGAACACGCACGCATGATCGCTGGTTCGACTCCGCACTAGGTCTGCCTGTGGTGAAGACCTGGGAACGCCGTAGCGCGACTGTCCCAAGATTCCAGGGAGAATCGACTCGACCAATATTCAGCGACATTTTTGAGGAAGACACATTTTTCAAGCCGCATTTTAGCCCACAACCAAATCGGAAGACCTTCGTGGATTACGGATACGAGATAAACGAACCAGCAATGTTGTACTCCGAACAATATGTGAAGTCTGTTAGTGTAAATAAATGAAAAAAAGTGAAATATAGGTATTACTGCATGAAATTTTCTGTTTACGGCACACGAAGAAACCTACCTGTAAGGAAGGTTTGTAAGTTCCTGAATACTCCCTACCTCCGTTGTATCCTTGTTCTCTAATCGGTTCGATCATCGGCTCATTTTTGTGACAACTGGATTTATCAATGACAAGCCTGAAAGCATAGGTCAAGGAAAAAAGATGTGTATGAAAGAACAGTGAGACTTTGGGGATTCATGCAAGGTCCAATCATGAATGGTAGGACGATCAATGTTAGTTCATTAGAGGGTGCGCCATGCACTCAACTCCATTCGTGGCATCGTAGAGATCGTTAGATATTTGGCCAATAAAATGGCTTGCGGTATCATAGCGATCTGTCAACTCCATTTTTTTATCCTCTCAGACAATTCTAGTATCAATGTTTGACTTTTATTTAGTGTCCATTCTTTTTTCACGTCCTGATGATTGCTAATGACACCAATAGAATTAAAACGAGTTTGTGGGGAAGACAACGCGGGGGCCTCGATTGATGTGGTGAATAGCACTTGAGCCCACGGAAAAGGTAATCGCTGGTTCGATGCTCACCTGAGGTTACAAGTTTTGCTCGAATCTCAGCCTGGTATCAGTTTGCTGACCCTCAAGGATACAAAGGATAGGGAATTTAGTGAGCCCAGGTAAGGGCTAGAACCGGCGTCCATATGTGTATTACAACGCACTTCTATTGCCGCACACCAAATATCATGCACCATACACCTTGATCCACTATATATTCATAAAATCGGTGGTAGCGCCCACGACATCTACATATTAATGCAATTTTCGGGATGCGATCATCGGATTATCCGTGCAAGGATTTTCCTCAGTTACTGGACAAACAAAGACTGCGGTCATCGCATAAGAAAGAAATATAAGCCGTGCACGAGAAGAAAATTTTGGTCGGAATCTTTTTCATTATACCATTTCCTTCTCTAGAAATCTGACCTCAAATTACAAGTTCATTTGTCAAAAGCCTCCGTAACTGAAAAGGCTGACTTTCTATAAATCTCGGTATGAATAGTTGATATATTTATTTATGTGATCTTATAAACTGATCTTGTTGAGCTGATGCAGTGTTGGTATAAGTTTTCGTTGTCGTTGGTCGATGGCTGACGTTTCGGCGATTTCGCCTTCCTCAGAACCGTGCTGTTACGAATGCGGGCAGTTCCAATAACGATAACGACAACAACAACAACAACAACAACAACAAAAACAACGAGGACTTATACCAGCCTCCATAATTGTTTTGTTTGTTTACTGTTCCGTCCATTCAGCGACATCTGTGTTCATATCAAGAAGTTCACTGCCACCACTTTGATAAATGAGGTTGAAGCCACTGCATGCTATTTGCATGAAACGCATTTGAGACAGCTAGTACTGAACGTCAATTGCAGAAAATATCCATTGTAAGTACTATAAGGGTAGAGGAATTCCTGAAAGGTGCATAAAGAAGCCATATCCAGGAGATGACGAAGAGGGCATACCGTATACTACGATACTTCATTAGACCTACGGAGACGGGATTTTTACCATTTGTGGCAATAGTATAAGGGCAAAAATACAATTCTTTTTATTATGAACTATCGTTCAACATTGTAACAGCTAATAGGTCCAAAATATTGTAGCATTTCAGCAGTACATTTTTTAGTTAACGAAATGGGTAATAAGTTACAGCAGCGCAGTTACTTGTTAGTTGATTAGTCGTTGCTGCGTGTCTGTTCAACACAGGAAAGTGGATCTGTATCGTAATGTTGACTAACTGAAAGTTATGTAACACATAAGTATTGCTTTTTAAAGTTCGAGGAACTGTGAATGAAAGTCGAGAAATAAGAACTGCATTGCTAAAGCACTGCTAGGCATTGTAGGTTTTAATCACAATCTTAATCGTTTTATTTACAGCCTACTCTTTTTAATGGCAGGTTATATTGCGAAATATAACTTCAATGATGCTGAGATATTTGCAAAATATAAATACCACCGCAGACACCTGCGGTCCGCAGTTTTGCAAATATCTCAACTATAGGTTTTAGTTGCCAGATGAAGCCACAATGTCGGATTCTGCATGGAGATGTTGGAGGTTGGTCTTGTCTTTTAAACGAAGAACAGCCTAATGATAAACTGACTGCTTTATCTGCTCTTGCTTGCTCGATAATTGCTACGTATTTCTACTGTTAGCTCCACAACTTGCCTCTCAAACGTGGGTAACTAAACCTTCGTATATAAACAGTATGAAGACAGGACAGTTATTGAATTAGCAAACTAAGTTAATATGGTAAGTAGGGATTTACATTGAAAATAAGAGAGGAGCAATAGGCTGGTGAAGTAGTATGAGGAGCAAATGACATATAGAGTACAACACAGGAAGAATAGTGGGAGGAGGGCAAATGGTAGAGCCAGAAGTGATGAGCAGAAATTGGTAGTGGCGACTACTAGATGCCCAGTGAAGGCATATGCTACTGTAGTGTGCATGATTCTTTTCCAGCCAGTGTTTTTGTGAGCATACAGATGTTAACACAAAAAGATTAGAGATCATTTGATTGGAGCATTGGTTTTTATAGTGTGCAGGTGTTGGTGTACAAAGACATTACAGAGCGCTTACAAACTACCTGCAAAGCAAGTAGATGAGTTAGTTTACAAGAATCTATTTAGAGATGATACGTTCCAAGTTCTCTACTAGGAAGAAACACCCACATGTGAATAATAGAACATTTGCTGATATCAAAGTGCACCAAAGAGAACCTGTAAATAATCGGTAAGTGTGAGGAAATAGGCTTCTTGTTGCTGGTAAAATCGTCTACGTATTAAACATGAAAGACCACGAAGAATGTGTATGAGCTAGGAATTAACAGCGATTTTTCTTATTCTTTGGATGAAACGAGCTCGGGACGATGAATCCGTTGCCTCGACCAGAACCATCTAAGTGTTCTACACGAGATTTGTACTTAAAACTTTAGACAGTCATCGAGCAAATCAGAAAATCAACCGCTCTATTTTCACAGGTCAAAAATTCTTAGCGAGTGTTGGTTATCGAACTACGGTATACGTTTTCTCATTACCTATGAATATCACACACGTCAGAAGTGCTTTACCTTCTAGAAACATAACATTTTCAGACTAAATATGTATTATCTAACCTCTTCTTTCCCTATCGAGCAGTGTTCAGTACGAAGGATAAATTTTTCTGCTGATAATGGCTTGTCAAAGCATGCAACAAGAAGCTTGAACACCTAAGGTTGTTAGCCTAAGACGCCTGTATACCACATAATCCATAGGCAACGAATCAACTTTGTGGTCTGCTAGAATCTATATAGAACGGTCACTAGTTAATGAAAATGGAATTGAACTGGATTGTCTTTAAGAGGAAATCTTAGCATGGAATACGGAAGACGTTGATTTGTTGTGAAACCATCTATTTCGTTATACCGTTAAACTTCGAAGTTTATCGCTTCTTTTCCACATACGAGTGTTCTTCAGTTGCCAGACCTATCCCATTCATTCCCTACAGAGCATACCGCTTCTTCTTGAGGAACGGTGTATCGTCTAAAACCAAGGCGCAGTTTGTTAAGTATCAAAAAAGACTAAAGAAATGTATAGAGTAATTCTCTGTACTAGCCGAAAATGATTTCGTTTGGTAGCATAGGAGAGCGTTTGGATGTACAGCCGATCACAGAGAAGCAGATACAAATGACCACGTAGCCATCAACTTATCTGGGAGCCTTGAAATGTTGCCATAGAGTCGTCGACCCAGCCTTCCGTGGTCATACTCAGATCCTTAGTAGAGTTGCCCTCCTCTATACCATGTTTTTTGATACTGGGATTAAACCATATGTGTTGCTTTTCTTCAGTATAATATCGTATATTTAAAATGTTTAATCGTCATGAGTGACGACCAGAAGTAGATGGATATATGAAGTTACAGACGTTCCCATCTATCTCTTAACGCTTACGCGTTGAGACCTAATCTCGCTTTCCCGTCGCAAAGCAGGATAACAAAATTTTTGTTGCGCTAACTGTGAAGCCTATGAAAGTCACGTTGGCCATTGTATCCCGTAAATGTTAATCCCGCCCGTTTTATTCTGATTTCCCCTCCATATTTCGGTCTACTCCGTGTTTCTAAAAGAAATTTTTGTTTCTCTTGAAGAACGCATACCCTGTGAACACCCAGCCACCATAAAAGAGCTTTTTTGTAAGCTATTAAGGGAGAGATTGTCTAGAGAACTCCCTTCTATAACCGACATACGCTGCGCGACCTACACTAGATAGGCTATCGATTGATTGCAAGAATTTATAAAACAATTTTGTACGCCAAAATAAATGACCGAAAAGAAAACGACCCCCATAGAGGTCAGGCAGACTACTGTGCCTCTCACAAATGACTCCTATGGAGGTCACGTCGTCGCTTAGGTGTTACGAACCACCTAAATAATGACATATCTAGCATCGTTCTAGCCATTTCTGCCTATGTAGAGAAAATTCCTGCGCAAATCCCGGTAGGCCAAGCGCGTCATAATCGCCGAAAGGCAACAGGAATGACTACGTAGAGTCAGACAGCATTCTGATTCCAGCGTTCTTTCCGCTTTGTAAAACTCGTCAGATTTATGCTTAGAAGCAGTTAACGTTAACAATCTAACGGTTTTGGAAAGAGGAAAACAAAACACAGCGACTCATGTAATATGATGAAAGTCCATTTTTATTGTGTAGTGAGTCGCACATGAAGACTTTTTGGAAATACATGTAAACAGAGGTTGATAAAAAACAATAAAAGCATGTTGTCTAAAAAGACATTGCAATAAAAACACTAAAACACTAGATTGGCAAGAACTACTACGTAGAATCAAAGCGATGAAGAGACCGCAATTCGTTCTAACGTATAATTCAGAAATGATGTCGCAGTGATGAAATAATCTCTACACTGGTTCTACGGGTAATGACTAGCAAATTTATGAAATACCACATCTGCAGGAAATGACTAGAGAGAGATACCCTAAAACTATCTAAACTCATATGTCACAGACTGCAAACTATTAGCTATTTCGACTAGGTGAAAGAAGAATGTACAACCATCGGTGCACCCATACTCCGTAATACGCGGTCAATCCACTGTAAAGGACCATTCAAATGAGCTTCAATCCAACAAGGTGTTGCATCGATCTAAATGGGAAAACTAATGGGGTAAGATTTTCTACTTCGCTAATATAATATATGATAATATTTCAAATGTAACCCAAAATCTCTTCGTAAAAAATAACGCTAAATACTAGAAATTTCAAATTCTCCTAACAAGCTACCGTCTGCCTTCGGTAATCCGCTCCCCATCCTTTTACAAACGATATTCGTATAGTACAAAGTCGTGTAAGTGCGAATACCGCTTCATATCCTTTCTCGACTGACTCCGCTAACTGGGCAGCAAATTCCGCATTATTGAATATTTTCAAATTGCAGTTAGGAGGGATCTGCAAGTGACGCAGTTAATTCATAACGAATCCATTAGTGGTCCTTGGTATGGAAGTTTAAATTCCGAAGATTTTCTAAGATGATGGATCCAATTTTGATTTCTCGAGCCAGATAACATTCTTTGAACCTCATTTATATGGAAAACTTTAGCCATGTTTGCTATCACTGGATATGAAAATCAGTAGGAGATCTACCTTACAAACTGTTGTTGGATGCCAACCATGACGTTGGTTACAATTAGGAGACTGAACAAAAACTGCTGCATCAGAAAGACATTCACAATAGACCTGAAAATGACAACTGGCATTTGCCGTGAAACAGTCGTAACTGAGTACCTTTCACATTTTTTCTGCTATGAATACGGTTATAGATAAAAACCTTAAGGCTAAAAGCGCAACGAATAATTACAAGAAGTCACTTTATCACATGACCTACAAACTACTGAAGCAGTGAACTGGGAATCATAAAGATAGAACGCTAGAAATAACTAACTGCGATGAAGAAGAGTTAAGAAACACCTCTCCTCCTATATAATAGAATCTCGCTCCTCGGCCCACCTGACGGCGGGCATCAATGACGGTGAGTGGGCGATTTTCCACGTCAAAATATCCCAGACAAAATCTGTTACATTAGAACAAAAGAGTAAACATCAATATGCATAATATAAAAACTCAGTATTGTAAAATAATGAAGCAAAACAGACCTCTCTTCCGAACTAGGAGAAGGATACCCATCAACGAGTAAATAGTGTGACTTAACATTGAAAGGATCACCAATACGCTTTCCTTCTTCGTAGTACGTGATTGACATCCAACATTCAGGTTCGCAGTATTCAATTAGTTCATGCACCACTGTCAATGTAAATGCAAATTAGTTTCGAAGAAATACGACTTGAAATTTAGAATTTTTTCCAAATGGCAAATGTTGAACTTCCACCCAATATGAGAAAGACGTAGTTATATTTGGTTAGATTTCTCTTCATGCAAAATCACTCCTTAACCTCTTACCAACATGATGAATCCGATATCATCATGTACATAATTCCTTACTCTTCAAAAAGCCTGGAATTCTAAAATGACAATCCCATCAGATATGATGAAAAAAGTGGCTTAAATTTATTCGTCTTACAATGTCTAAGAGTATTTTTGAATATTCATAACTGATATGAACACCTTACTTTCAGCTCCTGTAGACCGCAGAAAATTGGAAGCAAATGAATTACGACCATCACATGTGTCCATACTCACATCATTTTCATCATGATCTTCACTCAGATAAGAACTCGGACTGACTGCTGACGGCTCTTGGGCGGACCTCAAAAATTAAGTCGTGGAATCTTATGTGAGAAGATCTAAAATGTGGGAAATACCCAATGACTGCTGGTAACTGCGGATAATGTTGAGAGGATACGGAAGACTGAGATGAATCCACTGATGCCACGTTTGAGTTTGCAGCTACTAAGGATGCTCCAGAGAAGCCGAAAGATGAGGAGTTTGAAGAAGGCGACCCCAAATAACTGCTAGTTGGTGAGCTCTCTTCCGACATATAGTGTACACGCATTTCGTCTGTACTAATCGACGCGTTCGGGGCACGCTGAATTCGAAAATGGGCACGTATGTATAAATAGATATTCAATCTTTTAAACCTTTCTTTATTGAATTTAAGCCACTCAGCACGTGGTGAAGAGAGCAAGCTGCAAAGTCCTGACTCGACAAGAAACGATTCCATTTTCTACTTAAAAACTGCTACAAATGTAGATTTATAGACAAACATTTTCATAGGTCTGAGTTGCAAACCCGTTGTGAGAGCGCGCTGTCATTGTTGATGGTGTCACATTGTAGTAATCCGCAACCTTTTTGACGACGACAGGTGGAAGAGCTAAGTAAAATTTAACTCCAATAGAAGTACGCTTTAACATTCAGGTGACTACTGGGAAACATTCCAATGTGCCTATATCAATATGTATGTAAAACGTACGAGTTGCTTTTGCATGTATCGGTTCATAATGAAAAGGGTTGATGCAAACCATATCGGTTTTCTTCACGAAAGGATACCGACAATTATCAACTGCTTTTAGCTCGTGGGGTGACCTAAATAGGAATACTAACGCAGAGAAAAGGAATACGATCTTCGATAAAGTAAACAATGTTAGTATTGAAAATACAACCACAACGATACTGAGATATTCGCAAAACGTGGACCCTGGGCAAGCTCGAACCACGATTAACCTTTCCGAGACTGGTGTACTACACACTGCGCCACGGAGTCCCTTGCCTTATGTTCCTACCAGCTAGTTTTCTACCTTGTTTTGTGCTCCCAAAATTAATACCGCTGACGAGTGATGCGTTAGGTAGAATACTAGCTGAGTGAAACGCAAAGCGATGGCCTCAGTCGTGCAGTGTGTAATATGCGAGTCCACGGAAAGAGTAATCGTGGTTCGATTTGGTCAGGGGTTCACGTTTTGCGAATATCTCAGCATCATTGTTGTTGTATTTCACATTATAGTCTGTCGTGAAAAATTATAGTTAGCAGCAAATAAAAAGTTAACAATGCCACTGTTGCTTCAAAGGAACGTTGTAACAATGGATATACTTACTTAAGCCATGGAAATCTCCACATTTTTATGCATAATATATGAAATCTTTCCTTCCTGTGTGCCTTCTTCTTTTCTGATTCACTAAAACACAGCCTTATATCATTTAAAAACAAGGTCATGAGTTTTAACGCATAGAAATCAGATGAAAAATGACATACGTTGGGACCACACAACAATCTGTATGCCTATCCTCGTTAATTATAGCTTTAGCTAATTCATCCAGATATTTCGCCTTTCTAAGTCGTTTTGCCAAGGTTTTCACAACATTTTCAGCCCAAGCAGGATCGTCCTGAAACCACTAAAGTATTATGAACAGCTAATGCTTTTTCGACTTCAGATAAGCCGACAATTAAAAAGTGCCGGAAAGAAAAAAGTGAACAAGTTATTAATGAATAAAAAGGTGGAATAACCTACATTACCCTCATGAGAGATCGTCTCTGTCTTGACTAGTTCACATAACTGAGCAATAGTCTTCCTTGTTGTGGAATTCGATTCAAACAGAGATCGCATCCTTCCCTGACCTCAAAGCAACTAGCTAACTCATGCACTCCAATATCAGTTTCTCGATAACTGCCAGAATTTTTTGGTAGAATACTTGAGGAGTTGAGAACTTGACAGAATTGTTGATTTTCGAAAGCTGTTACTTTAGATTCATGAAGTTTGATTTTTGAAGAATTGAAAACGTTTACGTTTGAATAATTCTTTCTACTTCTGTTTAGCAAACGCGAGGTGCTATTTTATTTCTTTATTTACGCACAAACTGAAGTTTCGGCGGATTTCGCCTTCATTAGAGCCTGGAAAGGTCAAGTTGACTGCAATCTACACGGCCAAACACCTCCATAACCAAACAGAAAATGCCGAACCAAAATTTCAGTCATATTGAACACAGAGTCTTTTCACATTCACCACTTTATATGAGTCTTCCACTAAGTATGTTACGCGGAGACCAACCGCACAGAGTTTACATGGAGTCGTAATGTGCACATTTCATCAGGATAGCAGGCTTATATACTGCCCAATATCACGCATGATAATGAGGCATTCCTCCCTGCGGTTCATTTTCGGATTCTTGGAATTAATCCAGATGGAATTAATCCAATCAACCAATGCCAAGGTTAATAGAAAGTCGATCGTGGGAGTTAGTGCGTTTGCATTTTGAAAAGTTTCAACATGTGTGCAACAGCTGCATGTTCCAACGATACATAAGGATTCACCTTACTGTCCCGCTGGATAAAACCTCGCCTTTTCAACTGGCTCACTTTTCGAGGTATAAGCCTCGATGAAAAAGGAAAGCGAAAAAGAACGCCCAGCAACATAAAAAATGTTCGAAACATAAAGATTCATCTTAGCTGAAGGTATGATTCATATTCATTTGGGACATTACGAGTTGAAATGCTCAAAAACGTAAACACTTACCTATTCATTGGTTATGAAAGGACAGCATATCCCAAACGTGGTTCAAGAATTTCCTAAAACCTAAAAACACATCAGTATACTCAAGTATTACGATGACTATCGAATTACGCTAAACGTTTATTCAAACGCTGAACGAATGGGAATATAGAAGGCTTAGAAAAGACGGGCGCACATACACACACACATGAATAAATGTGTACATATTCCTAGTTCTAAAATGACTCAAAATGGAAAAGAAAAACTCCAAAAAGATGATGTGTTGGTTTTTCTTCAACAAGGCATACAAAGAAATGATTATGAAGCTTGGGACCTTACTTGGATACTAGGACGACCTGTTTTCATTGGTTGCGCGGAATCCAGTATAATCTCCGTTTTTCGGAGTTTTGTTGGTTTAGCTATTGTGTTTCCCTGGAGTCCCGAGGTAAGCTTGGCAAAAATCGGCCCCAGGTCGTCACCACCACAGGCAGTCGCCGCCCTTATGGGTCAGGGGGAGATTCGCCATCATGCGACTCGTTTGATAGCAGGATGGTGATGGATCCCGGTATTGGTTTACTTTTAACTGGGCTTCCTGATGGAAACGTCGGACACTTTCTCAGCTTGGGATACTCTGCCGGGGGACGAATCCACCCGCTGTCCATCGCAGTCCGACACGCAGGAACACCTCCCAGCCACGATGAGGCGGTAAACCGCAGAGAGGAGCTTGGAACCGCGAAGTCAAAATCAACACAACAACAATAACAACGAGAAAGCAGCCTCTAGGTGAACACAGAATAGAGGAAGAAAGATGTATGGAACGCTTGCGATGATGAGACAACTTACGTTATGTGAAAGCTCTCCACTTTCGAAGCATCAGGAAGAAATGCGGATCCTTCAAAGATGACTAGATGTATTCCGGAATAAAGTGACGATCTACCAAAAGAGTAATGAGGAACATGATGAAATCAATAAACACTGGCTTTCTCATTCATTACTAAAGTTAACTACGAACATCACAATACAACCACCTAGCGTCCTCGTTGTCGAAGGTTCTGCAATCTCAAGAGCAGGACAACAAAGTCACTAAAACCACAATGATGCTGAAATATTTGCCAAACTCCGGACCGCAGGTGTCTACAGTGGGGAACGGGAGCGCTGTTCTCCTTTCCGGGGAGCAACGCGCTCACCACCATGCGGGTTCTTCGTTTCGACTGTCTCTCAGCTAGTTCTATCGATCACCGCCATAAGCAATCACCCGTCAACGGGATTGATCTAGGGAGCCCAAATCGGCATTGAACCCAGTTCAGCTGAGGCCATAATTGAAATTCAAATGCTCCCTGAAAGTCCCCGGAAAGGACAATAGCGCGTTCGTTCCCCACCGTAGACACCTGCGGTCCGGAGTTTTGCAAATAGCATCATTGTGGTTGCTTCACAAACAACACCCTGCCGTTAAAGCTAGTACAAGGCAGTATATAAAAAAATCAACATTGTCAAGGTCACTATATATGTTATATAAACACCATGTAAATTTGAACTGAACATGGCTGGTGTTTTCAAATGTTATCCAAAGAGGCCATGGGCGCGTGTGTCGCACTGGTTGGAGGAGCCATTGCGACACACACATGGAATTGACCCACGCACCGAAGGCTTACCAAGCCTTCCATCTCCCCGAGGTCGACAAATTGGTACCAAACTTGTCTGTGAGGATAGCAGGACTGGCTCGATACATCGGTAAACTACTGCTAGTCACTGTAAAGGCCAGATATGCATTCGATCACCTCCAGACGATGCGTAATGAGGTCGAATGCATGGCGCATCCGTCAGGGATTGATCAACGCCGAGAGCTTTATCCTTTATCCTTTTATCGAAAGAGCCGTAACATTTTAGAAAACCTGGTGCACAAGTCCAGAAATCAGTACTGTTTAGTGGAGAAGACAAGTAAACACAGAGAACTTCTTGTGTTATTAAAAGAAAGATCTTGTCACAAACTCTTAAACTTCTAGGTTTCAAAACATCACTAGCTTTTTATAAAAGGGTTTCTGACGATTGAAATAATCTCTGTAACCTCGTTCACTCAGAAATCCCTTCTATAAATCTTTTCATGGTCACCTCCTTTAAATGTGTCTTTATGTTCCTACTTTACATGAAAGGAACAAAGAAAGCAGCAAGAAATGCCAAATTCAGGCGCTTTGCAAAATCATGTACACCATCAGATTTTAACCAAAACACAGTTTTTGAATATTTTCCAAACCA